ATGACCTTGTATAACCACATGTACTTTCCATTGTACCTCACACCTCATTTTCAAAATGCACTACACTCGATAGAAAGCGCTTTAGCTTCAACAGAACAATGAGTTCCCACTTTACCATCTCGCCTCCCTGCAGTTTTCCTGCTTCTCTTCTACATGGCTGACTCTGAAAACCTCGACCAATTTAGGTGCAATAAGCGGCACACAGCTCCATGGAGCAAAGTCAGATAAAAGCAATGTCTAAGCGAGTGGAGACTGAAATAGGATATAACTTTTGTATCTGCACTGTGGGGATCCATCACCTCAGTAGAAAGGGCACATTTTGAGCTTGGATGGTTTTAAACTCTGCATGCTGGCACTTTGATGAGGAGACCAAAAAAGGCAGAGAGAAAGCTAAAGTAATAGAGTAAAAAAGTAAAGAGAGAAGCAGACACAAAACAACTGAAAACGTTCTCTTTGCACAAAAGAGTCTGGACTGTCTGCTGAAACTGTCTAAAAGTGCTGGGAACGTCCCTGGTATTGAATATACAATACCTTTCTTCAGTCCTGGCTGTGAGAATCTAAATCTCCTGCTCTCGTTGACTCTCATTGTCCTTTTCTGGCATAAAGAAACACTTCAGTCTCTCACTGTGACAAAATAAATTTGTTGGTGTTTGTCTGGCTTACCGTCAGGATGCTCGTATGGCAGCCAGTGGTGTTTGGTGTTTTGGAACTCAAAGTGGGGGTTGCGGAGCTGGCACTGCTGGGCTCGGAAGTCTTCAAAGTGCTTGGGGCAGTCGTCAGTGTTGCACAGCTGATACTCATAGTTCACTCCTGGGCAGTCCTGGCCGCCGTTGGAGGGCCTGGAGGCCGGAAACAGATGAACATGAGAGCTGATCAGACTGTGAGTATTTATTTGATACACAGTATATGAAAACAATCCAGCTAAAATTGGTATAAATGTCCTCTTGGACTCAATGATGAACTGAGTCTACTTTGGTGGTCAAAGGTCAAAGGTCAAGGCCACTGTGACCTCACACAATGTTCATGTTTTTAGCCAAAAACTAAAGAATTCACACCTGGTGACACTAATTTTAAGTGTACATCTTGAAACTGTGAAACTGATAGTATAGATCTTCTGTGATGCCGGGGGGGGAGACACGTGTGAAACATCCGTGTTTTCACACACATCGATATAAACTGGAAGTGCTCAGGAGGTAGAGGGGGTCGTACACTAATCGGAAGATCAGCAGTTCGATCCCTGGCTCCTCCAGTCTGCATGTCGAAGTATCCTTGAGCGGGATACTGAACCGCAAATTGCTCCTGATGGCTGTTCCATCGGTGTGTGAGTGTGTTAAAATTGAGTAGCAGGTGGCACCTTGAGTGTTAGCCTCGGCCACCAGTGTGTGAATGGGTGAATGTGACTCGTGGTGTAAAAAACACTTTGAGTGGTAGGATGACTAGAAATGGGCTATACAAGTGCAGGTCCATTTACCATTCAACTGTGAGGTGGTAATTCTAGTTTCTGGATAAATCAGTATTTCCCGTTATGATTCCTGATCATTTGTGTCCAAAAAACATACTGTGTGCTCCTGCTGTGGCACAAACTCCCTCAAAATAGGGCTCCCCTCAAAGCTGTGGTGTTATTTGAACCCTGATTTTATGTGTTTATGTTAAAAAAACAATGCTTTCCTTTTCCTGGCAGAGAGCACCTCATCAAAACCAATACTACAGTATGAATCCTTAACTCAGTATTAGGCAGGACACGGACATGTACAACAACAAACATCCTCACAGAATCAAATCATGTTGCTGTTGTTGCCACTCACGCTGGGTTGTTGCACTGGCGTGTCCGGAAGCGAACTCCAGTTCCACAGGAGCGCGAGCACGAGCCATATTTGCTCCAGGAGCCCCAGACGCCATCTTGTTTGACCTGATTAGGGTTTTTCCACATGCAGTGACCTTTGTAGCACCACTGCAGAGGATGATGGGAGAGAGGAAAAAGTCAGCCAAAAAAAACCTCCTCTCTGGACTCAGTTGATGACAATGGAGGGAAAAAATGAGAATACACTACACGGCCAAATGTATGTGGTCAGGAGTACTTTTGGTCTGAGGCTGTTTCTAAAGGTTGGGGTTATGCTCCTCAGTTCCAGTTAAGGGGAATTTTTATCTTACATAATGCAATGATATTTAGGACAACGGTGTGCTTCCAACTGTGTCAGCAGTTTGAGGAGGGTTCTTTCCACGTCCATAAAACATTGTTTTCCCAGTGTGGTGTGGAAGAACTTGACTTGCCTGCACAGAGCTCTGACCATTAACTGTGAGCCAGACCTTATCACTCAACATCAGTGTAGGACCTCAGTAATTGTGGCTGAATGGGAGCAAATCCCTGCAGCCAGGTGTCAACATCTGGTGGGACACCTTACCAGAAGGGGGATGGCTGTGTACACTATTGTGTTATTATCTAAACTCTGTGTCCAGGCACTTTTCCTGAGGCGTCCACATACCATTGGCCATGTAGTACCACATGTAAAAGACAAACTCACTTTTCCAGGAGCACACTCGGTCCCATCGAGGGGTGGCCCCTTCTTGGTTTTGCAGAAGTACGGGTTGTCTGGGTGACTGCACCACAGCTGTTTACACGGGTCAAATGTTCGAAACTGAAACACAGAAAAGAGGAAAACTCCTTTGTGAAGGCAAATCTGAACTGGTACTGTAAATAAAAATTAAATTAAAGCATGTGACACATAGTAATGCATTACCGAACGACTGAGAGGCAGCAGTGGAAAATATTCTCTTAAAACACCAACGTAATGTCATCCATCAAATTTACTTTCAACATATTCTCAGTCATTGTGTTACATAACTTTTATACTGTTATCAAAAAGAAATTCCAGCTGTGACATTCAAAAATGCCTCCATTAAGGGTTACATAAAAACCGAACATTATTACCCACTCTGCAAAGATGCAAATAAGGCTCGGTATGTGATACTCAAAAGAAAGGAAGACAAAGAAAATATTGAAATATCTAGGAAGAAGCAGATTCACTAAGAAACAGATTGTTAAGTATTCCACAGTCGCAGTCGTCTATATCTAACAGACAGCTGACACTGCAGACCTAAACGTTGTTTACAGGCGTTATTGGCTGCACCATCAGGCGCCAAAGCCGAATGGATTAAGATTTTCTATGGGAACGGCTTATTGTTAACCTCCTCTCCAGGAAAAGTGGTGTGACGTTTTATTTTTTTTGTAAGGATTAGAACAGATCAGACTGATTTGAGAGAACTCAACAATGGGTTTTTCAGCTGCCTCGAGCCTCCCGAT